GTGTGTGTGTGTGAGAGAGGAAAGCAGCAGCGTGGTCAGGAGTATGTGATAAAATATTTCTGTCACTAGGTGGCAGCATCACCCTGCGTGTGTGAAAATGTGAATTTTCTGCATGTTTTTAATAAAGTTATATTTCGTGGGTGTTGTGTAACCTACAGCGATGAGTCAAACAGATCGTGTTTGTGTGGTTTGGTTCAAGCAGCTGCTTCAGTGGGCCAGAGGTCGTCCAGGCTCACCCTGTAAAGCACACGCAGGAACCCACCTGTAGGTGGCAGTGTAAGGCCATCTGTCATGTCTGCTCCACCATAAGCTCACACTCCTCCATCTCAGCAGTGAAACCTTGGTTAGAGTTCAGGCCTGAGACACAGCACCACCCTCAGAGGTCAGACGAAGGGTGAGAGTCTTACTGAAGATCCACATCAAATCTGACTTTTACACAGAGGCCTGTTTCCAGGCAACAAGTATGTGTTTAATAATGCAGCCATCCTTACTGATCATCCAACCAAACGCCGGATCATGTCCGACACGTTCCTAAAGAGACGAGGAAGCGTCACAGATCACCAGTGATTCTGTGATGATTGGGTTAATCAATGCACTTCTTCCTCCAGTGTGTATTACATCACAGGGGCAGAAGATCTCAATGTTGCCTCAGATTCACTTAAATAGCCAAAGATCCTGGTTGGATCCCAGAGGAGACGCTGGTTCCTCGAGACTGATCCGGGAACAGTGAAGCTGTGGCGTCCGCTGTGACAAAGATGGCAGCACACAGGCGCTCCTATCGCTGCACTGTAGTTACATCAATCATAAAGACAGAAAATCAGTTCTCTTTGTTTCACTGGTGCATCACATCGTCTTCTACACATCGAGCTCATATTCTTCTTAAAACTGTGCCATTCTCAGTTTAAACATCTGGATTCTGATTCTGCAGAAGCCCTCTGTGAGCCCCGAGGGCTTCAAGGCTATTTGGCATTTCCTGCTGCAACAGCTGAGTTGCTCCTGGGAGACACGACATGAAGGGTCGGCTGGTGATTCAACCACAGTCCTCCTCATCCTGCTGCACTACCCAGCAGGAAGCTAGGGCACTGAGAGGCACGAGGGAGCAGCATGCCCTGACCCCTGCTGCTTCCAGCCTCCAGGACCTGCCCCACCTGATCTCACCTCTGGTTTTTGAGACAGGTGACGAGTTAAACCGTGAGCAATGAGGCAGTGAGCATCGTAGCTTACAGCGGCCAAGGCATCCATTGTGCAACGTCGCCCGTGAGCAGCACACCGGGTTCTCTCTGCAGACTCTCACTCGCCGGGCATCAGAGAGGTGCCGTTGGGTAACAAGCCCGGAAAGATCACGGCCAGCTTAGAGCGTGAACCCGCACGACCACGGCAGTACGCCAGAAGGGAACCGGTCACTGTGGAGGAGCTGACAGGGCGGCCACACAGGTACGGTAATGCTGTCACCAAACTCAACCACAAAGTCTCAACGCAAGAGTCTGTTAATACCTGACTGCAGCTTCATCACATGTTCGCTGACCCACACAGGCGACGGTTTAGCCTCGTCACTCGACTGATCCTACTGGCACCAGCAGCTAAGCTAGGCCCACGGCGATGGGAACACAGGAGCAGGGTCATCTTCGGCTCCTCGCCCTGAAGTCTCCGCCTCCTCCTGCTGGTCCGGCACCTTCATGACAGTGATGTCACAGGTGTCACATGACACCCAGGACCTCAAATTGACCCAGAGATCCTTTTAAACTCAGAGACGAGACCAGAGAACAATGCGTCAGACAGAAAGAGCAACAACGAGGGTCAACAGTCAGAGTTTTAGGGTACAGAGATGAACTCATCCTGAGTTCTTCGTAATCAGAGCCATCTTCTTATATTTTGTAACTGGCTGCTGTTACAGTCTTGCAGCATCTGTGGATCCATAATTTCCTCAGGGATGAATGAATATTGAATCTTCACTTTCATCAACACTGATTGCACTCCACAGACTGCACAATGCTGAAAACGACAAATTACCTCCAAATATCCACTCTGGAGTCTAACTCTGAACTCCAACCAGCTTTTCTCACACTGAAAACTCAGTTTCACTCTGAATGCCTGCACCCTGAGCTAATAAGCAGAAAGACATCAGAGATTCACCATGGCAACAGCCTCCAATCCAGTCCAATGAAAGCGGACCGTGAAGGAGAAAAGAGGGATTTTATTTATCCTCGTCCACATCGTTTGATGGACTTGTGCTTCACAGAGAAGCTGGAATCCAGCAGATGTTACGCACTGACCGACCCGACGGTTCACTGTCGGACTCAGACTGTTAACGATGTGTTTGAACACCTGAACATATTCAAACACATTCAGACTGCAAGAGCAAACAGCACCTTTAGACTATGGCTGGTGTCAGTGGCTCTGTGGTAAAGTGGTTCACACAGTCTGTGGTTTGAGCTCCAGAGCAGCCACGTCAGGATAAATCAGCGGTGGCGCCCCCTGGATCTTAAAGCCCGTCAGACTCATTTTCACTCACCCGTCACTTCAAACACGTGTTTGGTTCAAACAGGGATTCCTGCAGAGAACTTTTTTATGTCAGCGTAATAAAGTCAGAGTTTTAATGAGGATGTGATCACAGCAGGATCGCACACGTGGCCACACAGAGTCTAACCCTCGCTGCCTTCAGTCCACGTGGCCTCGCTCTCTGCGGTGTCTCAGCACAGCTCGGCCCAGCATCAGCAGGAAAAACACAGTCGTCATGGCGGCATACGATCCCAGCACGGTCTGCACGGCGGCCGGAAAGTCGGGATGCGACAGAAGCGACTGGCTGCCAAAGTGGGGGTGCACGAGGAGGTGGATCTCTGCCGCACGGCGCCCGTGCAGCCAGCAGTAATACACACCTGCAAGTGTAAAGACACCTCAGCAAACTGAGCAGCACAGAGATCATCATCGTCATCATCATCATCATCATCATCATCATCGTCATCGCTGAACTGAAATATGATCCAGAGTCTAAATAAAAAATCTGAAGCCAAACACTGACTTCAGACGGAGCATCAGGTAACAGCGTCTGCGTGCCCTTCCTCACCTATGACCCCTACTGTGGGCAGTGACCACCCTCTGATTGTGTGACCCCACACTTCCTGCCTGGTTGAGGCACTTCCTGTACAGGGAGGAGACCCCAGACGTGCACAGATTAGGTGGCAGGTCTGGGATCTCCAGGACTCTCCAGGGTTAGCTGCACAGCTTCACCTGCTGCCACCATAAAGTTCGGAAAAGGGTGGAGAAGACCCCGAGTGTAAAGAGTTATCTCGAGTAAAGGTCTGTGATCCTCCACCAATGAGATGAGACCACCTGATGGGGGCGCTGTTCATACCTGAGTCCTGCGTTTGAGCCGGCTGGAACAGCAGGTGGTGCCCGGTGTCTATGAGCAGTCTGGCGTCTGCGCCGGCGCCTGAAGAGTGCTCAGACCTGTAGATGGGTTCGTTCCCTCGGTCCCAGGCGACCGCCATGTCAGGGCGCGCCCCGGGACAGCCCAGGGTGAGGACCTGCCCGTCGGGATGGGTCAGGTAGTACAGAGGTAGCCCGGTTGGCAGTGAGGCAGAACTGTGACACAGAAAAACCCAGAGGTGAAACATCTGGATTCAACAGCAGAGAGCACCGCAGGAAATCTTCAGGACACAATCTCAGAGACGATTCACGGAGACATTCGGACTCTGTGGTTCCAAGCAGGGCGACCACGTGTCCACGTGTCGGAGACGACAGGCGAGAGCGCACGAGGGTCGCCACAAACAAAACTTTACTGGCACAAAACACAAAAAGGAAAAAACTACACGGGAACAAAGAGAAGACAAACACAAAGAGTACATCTACACAGGCTGACTCCATGACAGGAAGTGACACGTACAGAAGAACAGCATGACCGACAGGAAACAGGTGAGAGTGAAGAGACTGCGTCATGAAACCAGAGTTCAGCATGAATAACTAAATAAATGTCAGACGTCCACACACGGACGCGTCTCTTTAGTTTCAATAACAAAATAAAACCATGACCCCGTGAGGTGCAGCCGACGGGTTCACCATCACAGCGATGGTCACAGCTGGGAAGGCGTTCTTATTCATCGTCAGAGAGGAGGATTATTGATCTGTAAATGTTTCTGCTGACAATCAGACTGATTGAGACGGGCTGTGGATCATCTTCAGTGTTTCTCTGCAGGTCCGTGGTGAACACCGAGGTCAGCAGGCTGAAGTGTTCACTGTGTGAAATGTGAACACAGCTTGAGACACATCCACAGACACAGCAGCGATTCCTGCACTCGATGACACGGCCTCATACTGTATTATACGAGCTCTGCTGCTGTTGGGCCAAAGTATGCTAGTAAGCCTTTTTCATGTCACCAAAGTTTAGATAAATACAAGTTTCTAAATTTTACTAATTTCAAATTATTTAAGTCTGTCTAGTGTACAAAGTCTTACACGGTCTGGCACCAGTGAGTGATTTTATTAAAGTGTAGCAGTGTGACTGACCCACTGTGAGAGGCGACTGCATCTGCACAGACGCTCTGTCGTAGTGAGAGAGTTAGTGTAACACAAAGGGAAACAACTGTTAGTGTAATGGGTCAGTGCAGTATCAGGACAGTCATGTGCAACACAACTGATGTTTCTGTTATTGATCTCTGTCCTCTGTGACTCTTCTTGTCATCGCTCTAGTATAATGTGATCACGGTTTTTGTCCTCGTCACATGACCTGTAAATATGTCTC